ATGGATGGATGGATGTCTCAGGTAGACGATGGAAGTGGGTTTCTGGAGGTTTGTGCAGATGGAGGTATCTGTTTTTGCAGACGAACTCTTCAAATGTAAAGTGAGTGTGACCTTTTCAACAATGGAGTTTTTGTGGTGAAATATAAGCGCTAACAATCAACTCAGAACCATGAACCAACCCTGATCTGACCTCATAATTTACTTAAGGCCTGATTTTTAAATATTGATTTTTTTCACTATCATTAATCGGGACCCTGACTGGAGCAGGTTTCTTCAGGGTTTCTTACAGGAGCTGAACTTCTACATTTTAAAACGTGTTGTTACATCTTTACACACATATTGGTAAAGAAAGTGTTTGGTTATGATTTAGCTGGCAGATATTGATGTGTTTCCTTTCCTAGTAAGAAAAGCAGTGTGTTGATCCTAAAATGAGCCCCAGTGGACGATAACACAGCATCTGATTGGTCCGTTCAGGGGAATGATGGCTCAATGAGGAAGGAGTGGTAGCGACACTTCACTCCGATGTCACCCAAAAATATTAACACAGTCGGCAATCAATAGCAGCCCAATGAGAGGAGCAGCGGAGGATCAGAGCAGATTAAAAAAAGAGCTGCAGAACCCGATGAGGAAAACAAGATGAAGACGGGGGATGGAGAAAGGCTGTCAGGTGTACAGCACAGAGATGAGGATCTAGCCGTGGTGGTGTTTAGAGTTGGTGTTTGGCTACGTCTGGGTGTACAACAGGCTTCGCTTCCTCATCACAGCTTGATGAGCGGCTAAAGGATGAGCCAACACCAGCTGCAGATACTCTCTATACTTACATTAGTTTGTCTTCCATTTAACACAGAGCACTTTCATTTCTGTACCATTTGATCAGAACAGCTGCTATGGAGCTGCTTTCTGATCCGTCGCTTACATTCAGGTCAGTGAGCAGCTATGAAGATGTTTACCTTTCCCATTCCAGAGTGGGCGTGTCCAATCTTCACTACTACTGGGAAGCTTGGTGTTGTAATCTGTAGAGAAAAGCATAATTAAAGGATGAGTAACGAAGAACGTACACAATGACAGCAGCTGTTTTTCACAACAACACGGTGGAAAATCCCTGCGGTGGACAATAAGTGGCTTTTTTAGACTGCATGTGTCTGGAGGTAATAAACTGCTCCAATAAACAAGTCCGATTTTAATTTCTCGGCGCTGTGTGATCATTGTTGGTCTGTTTGTGAACAAGGTTACGCAAAAGTGACCTGGCCAAGTTTTATGGAACTTGTTGGAGAGGTGGAGTGCTGGCAGAGGAGGAAGAAAACATCACATTCTGGTGTGGATCCAAAACCACTTTAATTAAAATTGGTAAATGGGTCATTGTCCTTGGCAGAGGAAGTGCCTGTAATTCTTTATGTGGTTTCTCTTTAGAGACGCAGTCCTCAGTGACCTGTGAAGAAAGCAGCTTCTGTTCAGAGTATGTCTGAACAAATGTTGAGTTCAAGCAAGGAAACAGAAACAAACCAGTGCAGGACAGACAACAAGACTTAATCGTGAAATAAGGTTTCTGAGAACATTCTAATCCTGTCATATGAAAAAACAAATCTCATTATGATGTTGCACTTGCTGTGTTATTACCATTATATAAAGCAATGGGTCACATCCCTTCTTCTGTTTGTATACTGAAGTCATGGACACATTCAAGCTTCCTGTGTAGACGAAAGATGAACATTCATCCTCCATAAACAGACGTCGTGGTGACCCGTCTCATAGCTATCGAGGTATTTAAGTAAAAATGTGAAACGTGGAGCAGAGGTGAACAGTCTGCAGCATCGATCCTCTGAAAATCACGCTGGTACACAATTTCATGTTAAATCTCAAAACAAGATCTAACAAATAAAACTTCAAAAGCCTCCTAACTGATTCACTGAGACCTCGGCAGCCTGGAGGAGGAGGCGGAAGACATCAGCAGAGGGCAGAAGAAGAGGAGGAGGCAGAGGATGGCAGCTTTTCTGTTTTTTCTGCATCTGAGGAGGCTGTCCCTAAACTGTGGAGCACATAAGAGGCTCCCTGTGTGCCACCCTCTCAGCATTCAGGACCAGAGTGTGAAGGATCCAACTATTGTGAGTTTCTCTGTGTGCTGTCTGCTGGGAGGGGGAGAGAGAGGGATAGAGAGGGGAGAGAGAGAGGTAGAGGAGAACAGAGCACCAGCCTCCTCCTCCTCCTCCTCCTCCTTCTTCTTCCCTTCAGCTCCACTTGTTTGCTGCAGCTCGAATCCAGACGTGTACTTTAAACTTATGAACACATTTCTATCCACAGCTGCCTTCCAGCTCAGCAGAGCTCGTCTCAGCGCCTCCAGCCCACCGTCCTGTCCGCCCGCCGGCCGCCCCTCGCTGTCTGCCAGCCGGACTTGTTTCCAGGGAACTTAACGGGATCAGGAGAGGCTGCGAGCGTTCATCAAGTGGTGGAGCGGTCAGAGCAGCCAGATGGTCATGGCCGTGTCCCAGGAGCGGAGTGTGCGTCTGGGGCTCTGGGTGCTCCTTGTGCTTGGTGCCGGCATGGAGCAGGTGGTGGAGGGATGCAGCTGCAACCCAGCTCACCCACAGCAGCTCTTCTGCAGCGCCGAGATCGGTGAGTGACTGACATGATGTTCACCCCAAATCAATCCTAAACACAGGATATAAAAGCTGCTGTGTAGAAGCAGGTGTAGAGTTCCTCAGCGGGGCCGTGCAACAGCCCAGAAGATCTAGAGATGTAACGAGGGCCCTGACATCTTAACTAACTGACTCGTGATTAGGCTTATTGATCAGCTTAATTAGATTCTCAAAGTGGAGGGAAAAAATCCATCCAAGAGCGTAAACTCAGTGTGAGAAGAGCAATCGATAGAGCGTCATGGCTGAGCTGTTTGGACAACACAGAGGTCTGCAGCCGTGGCTCGTTCTAGTTTATATTCATGGAACTTTAGGTGGTGTGGAGGGAAACTAACAGCTGCTATTCACAGAAACTCTACCTGGTTTTCTCCAGTCACCGTCATAAAAATGACCGTTTGTGTTCAGAGAAACGTGATCGTGGAGCTCAGCGTAGAGGTTGTACAAACAGCAGCAGAGTCACTATCGATCAGTGGATGTGAGTCTGTTGATCTGCTTTTTACACTGACTGACGCATATTAATGAGGCCGACATCGCTGCTCTCTCACCGGCCTTTCCTCTGCTCGGCCGTCTGGGTTTGTGGAAACGTTTTGCTCTCAATCGCATGAAAACAAACCCTGAAAAAACAGCCTTCTGTCTGTCTGTCTGTTATTAGCCTGTCCGTCCGTCCGTCCGTCCGTCCGTCCCTCCGTCCGACGCCCCCCCATCATCCAGCTCTTTCTGGTCTCAGCGCAGGCCAAAACCAACACTCTGCTCTGACTCGGAGCACTTGGCTCCAGAGTGTGGAAAGCTGGAGTATGTGCTGCTGTCAAAGGTCACACTCCAGCAGAGGAGAGAGCGAGAAAGGGAAGAGCTGCTTTTGTTGCTGCCTTGTTTTCTAATTGGTCCGCATCTCCCTTCAGGTTTAGAGGGTCAGCTCTCGAAAGCACTTTGAAAATGTGTCTCGGAAAATAGTGGGTAGGAAATGGAAGCGCAGAGCCGCTTCTACAGCTCCAGGTCTGAAGCCCAATTAGATCTGGGTTATGGGAACACAATGGCAGTATGTGGGCCAGTGTTTTTAGGACAGCAGTCTATGTACGAGGTGTGCTTCATCTCTGAGATCCTGGAAGGATGACTGTTTAGGTTTCTCCAAATCAACAGTATGAGGTTTTCACACAAACCAGAACCAGGTCACCAGAACTGACCTGAACAGTCCCCACTGAGACTTTGTGGTCTTCGTTGACATGAGGTCCACAGATCTCAGATTTCTTTAGTGAAACAACAACCCAGAACCAGCACGACAGCAACAATCACATCTGTTTCTAAACCTCCTTCAGTCTGACGGGCTGCGTTGGGATTGTTCCTGTTCCATCTCCAGATCTCACTGGATCAGGATGGAGGAACAATAAACTGCAGGGCTGCTTCTAGTGCTAACCACGAGGATGGAGTCAAGGAATTACATTCAACAGAAGATTAAAGCAGGTTTTAAAAGTAAAAAGAGCAAAGCAAGGCCAGTCAGACATGTTTTAAGTTGGTGGTAATGAAGTGGCAGATGTCTGATGGTATTAATCAGCAGTCCATCAGCTGTCCTCAGAGATAAGGCCCGTCCCTCTGCAGCGTAGCCTCGACTGAGACATCTCTAACCGGTGGCTGAAGCCTGATCCGGCTGTGTTGTTACCAGCAGGTATGCATGTGTAAAAACACACCGACGTGTTTCCCTGTGGGACAGGAGAAGTATTAATGCTCAGACTGTCTGTGGGAGTGGAACACGGGCAGGATTCAGAAAGCAGTCGCACACAAATGGATTCAGTCAGCGGTCCCTGAGCAGCCACCACCTGACCAGAGCTCAGCAGCCACTTCACAGGCACTGATGCCTTCAGTCATTCTGTCCAAAACTAAACCGCCAAAGACATTATGTCGAGGTCAAGCTGCAACAACTGAGAACATCGTTAGAAGGTTGACATGTTGAGGCTAGAAGGCCACTGTGGGGCTGTGTGGTGTTTAACAGACACATGCTTGGTAAATGGTCGTACACAAGCTTTTCCTCAGAGCGCTTTACCAGGTGTTTCTCATTCACCTGTTCACACACATCCATGCACCAACAGCTCCATGCAAGCTGCTGCCTGCCATCAGGAGCAACTTCAGGTTCAGTGTCTTGCCCACGGACACTGTGACTGTGGAGGGGATGGAACCACCAACCTTGTGACTGAAGGACAACCCGCTCTACCACCTGAGCCACAGCCCAAGTCTTATTTTTGTCTGTAAGATCTAAACAGGGTTCAGAACAAACATTTTTTTAGTATTTCTGCTAAAACAAATGTGACAATAACTAACCAGCCTGCAGAATCAGTGACTCTGGGACAGAATTAGGAAGCCTCGTTTCTGGGAAGCCAGTGACCAATTTTCTTCTGTTGTTTAAAAAAACACCAAGAACTCAGAGCAGTAAATATCTGTTTCCCGCACAAGAACAGAAGCCTGAGCGGCTGAACGACGGTGGTGCTGCCGACCCGCTGCACGGCTCCGGCCCGTTGGGTTTTAAATGGATGAGTCCATCTCTGAATAGATAAAGTCAGTGGTCCCTTCTCAGCTAGGACACAAGTTTCTGGACCCATGAATACCAAACTAGGAAATCCCTCCTTCACCACCAGTGTTCAGAACTGTCCATTCTGCGGCTGCACGGTCCCGGTGTTCTACCCTGGTGGTGGACTTTAGTTGACCTGACAGTGCTGTCAGGGTGGATGAGCGCCTTGAATAAAGCTGTAGGCTACATCTGACTAATATCCCATCTGGACAAACCTTGGATGATTCCCTGGCCATGTTTGTGTATCTGACATTGTGTGTGTGAGTGTGTGTGTGTGTGTGTGAGTGTGTGTGTGTGCTTGACGGAGGCCACACCGTGCCAACACAGCCTACTCCATCTCTCGCTTTCTTTCCCTCTCTCTCCCCACTTCATTTCCATGTCTATAGGGCCGGTCTAATGGGCTGCATACTAACAATATCAGTGTGAAAGCCCGCTGACAGTCCAGCTTTGTGAGCATGACAAGGGTGCCGATTCATCTGGGAGGGGGAAGTTACTTACAACATCAGTTCTCATGGTACAAGTTTGCAATATTTCTCTTTGGTTATGCAGCCGTAGGGCAGATGCACGGCCACTTCCACTCTGCAGGCGTCCTCGTCCACAACACAGCTGCAGCAGCTGAAGTGAGACGCTCGCCTCGGCTTCAAGCATGGCTGGATGGGGGGTGGAGGGGGAATATTTCAGAGAATCTGGGCCAGCAGAACGGTTTCAGGGAAAGATGACAAACTTGGAAGGTTTTGCTGTTCAGTTTTTAATACGAACATGTAAGGAGACTGCCCAGGAACTCTCACGCCAGGATCCAACCCAGATCCTTCGGTTTCATCTGGTGACGGCAGACGTGTTCCAGCAAATGATTAAAACCACCAATCTGCTGTGATGAAAAATGGCTGTAACGGTCCTGACTAATTAGCTTCAGCAGCGATATACGGCCAGCGCTGACACTACCAACGGTTTGATCTTCACTCAGCGCTGCTATGCCTCCGTGTATTCCTTATATAATGGCCACATAGGCCCATTGTCCCGCTCAGATAGGGGAGCTTTAAGTGGAACGACTCATTTGCCAAAGAACTTCATCTGCTTTGAGCGCAGATCAAAGAGTTGAACTGAAAAAATAGGCCAATAAAACGATAGTCATCGTTGGTACGGTCGTATCTCTGAGTAGTGAAATAAAGTCACAGTTAGAGGAGAAGCCACGGCGGCGGACGCTACGCTGGGTCCAACGTCAGCCACTTTGGATCACTGGAAACATATTCAGATACTCTGTTCTGTCAAAGTACAGAGAAGTAAAAGCACCATGGTCCAAAAATACTCCATCACAAACAGAAGCAGGCTGATGGACGTTAGCTCCTCAGCGATAGCGGCTGATACAGAACAAGGCTCCAGTTAGCAGGCAGATTTTACTTGAGCTGAAATACAAAGGAGGCACCATGTACACGAGTATACAGTCGTACAGACTCCTTACGCTGAGTTCCTGATACATGGAGCCTTACACAGTGTTTCCATGCACAGCAGGCTGTCTGGTCGTGTGCTGATCAAACTGTAACACACCAGGGCTGCAGGCAGTAAGCTGCTCAGGATGGTCTGGTCTCAGTGGAGAAGCTCAGTTTGTACAATAAGTTCACCTGCAACATAACTGTAAGTACAGCTTTAACACATGTGAAGCTGCTAATGTTAACCAGCAGCAGAATACAACTAATTAAACTAATTAAAGTGGTTCATGCCTCAATCTGTGAAAACCCTTTAACTGCATTCATGGAAGAGCAGCGCAAGTTTATCTACGACCAAAAAATACGTCCTAAACAATAATCACAGTGGGCTCTGACTTTGTGCAGATGTTTCCAGGTGCAGGTGTGTCCTGGTCACAGTGTGTCTGGTGTATTGTAGCTTCATGCTCACTACCTTCTTTATTTATAGTTTTGTTTCCTGTTTCAAAGGTCGGGTTTCTCTGTAGGTCGTCCTTTGTTGTGTCCCGTCTGATAAAGTCAAGGCGAGCGCCTTATCAGCCGCTGCAGCAGTAATCTACTGAAGGACGCTGGCGTAACGCTCTCAGTCGTAGCGGCTCCACGCTTCATTCAAGCCCCAGGCCATGATTTATGCAGTTTAAGACTGAAGCATATCAAAGTCAGAGTGAACACACATCTACAGCCGTGAGCATCCCACCGACCTGCACTCAGATCAAACCGTAACGCTGCACACAAGTTCACATGTTTGTTTGTCTGCCCGCCTTTCGTCTTGTTGCGCGTTTACCAAGAAAAAGAAAAAAGGAAAAGAAGGTCTCTATTTCTCCTGAGCCAATTTCACAGAACACGCTGAGCTCCTCCTCCTCCTCTAAAGGCCGCGGCCGAGTTATGTGATGAGCGAAAGGAAAAACAAGGGGGTGGTTTGCTTAGCTGTGTGTGAGGCTGAGGTTCACTCGCTCTCTCCACAATACTGTTGCTTTTCTCTTTCTTTACCAGGGTTACTCGATCCCCTTCTGGCTCGCTGCTTCTTCTCTTCTCCATCTTCTCTCATCTACAGGGGGCTGCAGAGAAAGTTGTTGAGGACGGGGAAGATGTTTATGTAGCTGCATTACAGGGACTTATCAGGAGGATTAAAGTATATTATATTTATGTTAGAACTGAGTTTAGAGCAATAATTAAGGCAGATTTGGTACCAAGATTCTCTGCAATGTTTAAAACTATGGGTCTTTAATTTCATACAGTGGAAGACAGAAAAAGGATTATTTATTGGTTGCTGCTGTAACAAAATATAAACGTTAGCTTCATGCGTTGGCTGATAAACACTCTTTCAAGTGAACTTTTGAATGTTTGCAGTTGACGCATTTTAAAATTAAAACTTTGCAAGGAGGTCCTAAATACACGTCTGAATGCCACATGAAGGTTAAAGCTAAATGTTAAAGGAGAGAAAGTCCACTGCAGGAGATGTATGAGTGGTTTGTATATGGATCCATTTTAAAGTGAAATGCATCGAGGCTTTTAGGATAACCAGTGTCTGGTGAGTAAAACACGATCTGAACTGGGCTTTCTGGACATTATTGGACAAACTGTGCTGCAGCCGGGCAGTAATCTGTTTAGCCAGACATGCTAATGTCTGCAGCTTATTTTAACAGAAATAAAGAAACTATCATTTAATCTGTTGACATGTTGAGAAGCCCCGTGCAGAGGAACAAAGCCTGACGGGCCTGGTGAGCCCAGCTACAGCTGCTATGATTGGACAGTCGCTGTTAGCGCTGCATTTTTTCCATCATTGTTCTGTGCTTTTCGTGTCGCGGCACAGTTAATGCAGCTTCCAGACACGACTGTCTAACTGGAGATGAACCTGTGAGCTATGAGAGTAAACTCAACTACGCCTGATTAGTTTTCAGCTCGCACCGCGTTACCCAGTGAAGGAAATACCTGACAGCGAACTCAACTCGTCAGTTGCTGTTCGAGATGTTGCAGGTGTCACAGATGATAGTCTGGTGGCGGCTCTGATGCCTCGCTTTGGTTTGGCACAGGTTGGACCGCATGCTGGGAAAGACCTGCAGCACTACCAGTGATTCTGTTATAATGAATATTTAGAGAGGGTGTGTGTGTGTGTGTGTGTGTGGAGTGTGTGTGTGTGTGTGTGTGTGTGTGTGTGGAGCTGGTTAATGGGACAGAGCAAGCAGAGAGCTACTTGTTATTCCATGTGGGTTTTGATTTTGTCCCAGAGGAGAGGAGGGACACATCCTGTATCACTACTGAGAGGGACGGCCGCCCTGTCTGCTGGGGACGAAGACGAGTGACAGGAAAAAACCACAGAGAAGGAAAAGAGTCTCTAAATCTATCTGTCAGTGTGTAGAAGGATAAAGCAGGAATCAGAACGTCTCCAACATGTAAACCAGTTTCTCGTTTCTGGTATTGACTTGTTATTCAATGAATCCTAATCCTGCTTTCTTTCTGCTGTTTTCCTCTGACAGTAATAAGGGCAAAGGTCTCTGGAGAGAAGATAGTGTCGCCTAGCAACAGCTCCTCACCTTACATGAAGATGATCCAGTACGAAATCAAAATGATCAAGGTGAGCTACAGGCCGCAGAAACAGCTGCTGCTCATGTACTTCACTCTGAGTGATGTGGACGCTGGCTGCATGTGATCAGGGAAAGCCAACCAACTACACCTGGCTTCACAAACAGGCAGAGGAGATCTGATGAATATGCAGGAGGCTGTACTTCAGCATCCATCTCCGTCAGCTGTCCAATAAACCGGATGCATTTCTGTTCAGAAAATGTCTTTAAAGGTGGAAAACCAACTATTTTGAAAGGTCCAAACACAAGCTGCTGCCCATTCCACTTAACCTCCAGGTGCACACAATGAAAGGATCACGATTAAAATCTGTTCTGTGTAAAAAAGAATGAACGCTGTCTTTTGGAAACATGAAGTCCAGCTGATCTTCCGTCTTTACCTTGTTGCTGCATGTATGCATCACATGTGTTCGCTTCTACTCTCTGTGTGTCCAGATGTTTAAAGGCTTCCACAAGGCCAAGGACATCCAGTACGTGTACACTCCGGTCTACTCCTCGCTGTGTGGAGTCAAACTGGACTCCAACAACAAAGCCGGCTATCTGCTCTCAGGTACAGTCTGTGAGCAGCTTCTTATGAAGGCAGATAAATGTCAGTAGGACGTGACTGTCTCGTCCTAAATGGCTTTTCAGGGGAAATCAGAGTTAGATGAAGACTGCAGAGAGACGCAGCTGCATCCATTCACCTCCTCAGCACATTTAACCACATGTTCAAAACGCTTCGGCTGCAAACTAATGTCTGCTGTTCATATTTACATTACAAGGACTTCTGTTTTAAACGTACGGCTAAATGCTGGTGTTGTGATGTCACCAAACAGGAAGTATGTGGAGCGATGGGAGGATTTCTATTGGCCAGTGTGACCTGGTGGAGTCTTGGGACAACCTATCGCTGTCACAGAAGAAGAACCTCAACTACAGATACCAGATGGGCTGTGAGTGCAGAGTGAGTAAGGACTGTTCCACACATATTGATCTTGTCTCACTCATCTGCTGCTTCAGAGACGTCTTCATGTCTCCGACTACAACAAAGCAGCAGCTGTTCAGGCAGGAAGCTCCGTCCTCTCATACGTTGGTCCTGCTCTGCCTCAGACCTGCTCTCTGTTTGTTTTTAAGCCTGTGATCTTTGTATTTCCATCGACACCTCTCTGTAGCCTCATGTGCACCATCCAGAGCTAAACTCTCCTCCATAACACCGGGGAGCTCAGCCTAAGGAGAAGAGATGAGTGAATGAGTCAATGAATGAATCAATTCTTCTTCTGTTGTCAGATCAACACCTGCTACACGGTGCCGTGTGCGTCTACAGGAGATAACGAGTGCTTGTGGACTGACTGGCTGCTGGATAACAGCCTAAACGGGGAGCAGGCTCGAAAGTACGCCTGCATCCACCGCTCCAACACCACCTGCAGCTGGTACCGGGGTGGAAATCCGCCGGAGAGGGACTTCTTGGACATGACCGACCCTTGACCTGTAATCCTGACACTCATTTTACTCATTCTTTCTCCTAAAATGCCTCAAAAAAAGAAAAAAAAACAAAAAACAACCTGCTTTGACTTACGTAGTTTGGATTTGGCGTGCAGAGTAGCGTCTGATTTCTTCTGAAGATTTGGCAAATTTTACATTTGTGGGTGCTTCACTTGACGCCTGATGTTCATGTGATTCCTGCAGCGAAGCTAGGAACCTTTTTACAAACTCCAGGGCTTCAGCGTTCCTCTGACTCATTTCTAGCTCTCACACGTTCCACAGAACAAGAATAGCAGCAGACCTTCCACAGCAAATCTCTGCCTGGTGGGAAATGCACAACCTTAACACAAGATAGGTGCAATAGGATACGTAGCAAAAGAAGTTGTGCATTTGCTGAAAGACGTGTGAGGAAGTTGTATAATTACTGCACAGCAACAGGAGGAAGGTAGTAGAAGGAAGCTGCCACAGTCTGGCCCTGCAGAGTGAACTCCACACAGCACAGATCAGTCCTAGATGCCCCGCAGCAGCACTGCCACCTGCCCCCTCATGCCCTGGGACTGAATCTGTCACCTTCTTATATAAAACCCCAGACAGTAACTGCCCCATGCAAATGACAACAGAGTGCATACAGAGCACCGTGGGAAGGCTTCAGGCACAGAACAGAAGTAGCTCAATGGATGTTTCATTGGTCAAGTTCCCACCAAATGCAGCGAACAGAGAAACTCATCAGTCGGTGGTGTGACCCCCTCTGCCCTGACATCAGCATCAGCTCTCCTGGTTGCACACAGGCTTTCTGTTTCCTATCAGATAAGCTGCGCCTGTGTTTCTTCATGTCAGCTCAGCACGGCTCCATGATGCTGAATGCAGGGTTCTGTGTGGCTGCACCACCTGTTCCAGAACCTCCTCATCTTGTTCAGCTAAAGTTAGCTCTTCATGATGAGATCAGGACAGTATGTGTCAATCGAAACATCTAAAGTGCCTGAAACCCTCCCACCGTCCCGTATGCGCAGAAACAAAGCGACACCAGACGCGCTGCAGCTAGTTATACTCTGACTAAATATAAATCTGACATATGACCCTAATTCTTGCACATCAAAATCATCACTGTTTTATTTCCAGTGTCAGAGGCTGTAAATACTGTACTTCAGTGGGAATTAACATTTTAAAGGCTAACCAAACTTCTCTCGTAGCGTAGGGATCCTTATCTTGTGCTTTCTTGTGTGTTTAGCGTCCTTGGTTGAACTCTGTACTATTTCCTGTGCCAAAAATCTAATCCAGCGCTTTAACAACAGCACTGCCACCTGTAGAAGCCAAGCCGCCTCTCCTTAGAGGAAATCACGTAACAGGACACGATTCAATTCACGTTTTAACTCCTTAAAGAGCGAGCGTGAGATAGAACGCATTCTGGCCCCGGACGACAAAAAGAGCCTTAACTGATAGTCACAGTGATTAATGATTAAAACGCTGTCTGATATAACAACTGAGCATTTATTAAAAGACCGAATCAGAATTGACCCCTGTCTTGTTACTGGATCACTTCACTGAAGTCACACAGATTAAAATGCATTATGGTGAGATCACATCAGTCAGCTCAACAACACACACGTTAAACCTGCACCATGCATCAGACACACACACACACACACACACACACACACACATTAAAGTAAAGGAAAATGAAGTGTTCACAGCCACATGTGATGGCTGTCTGATGACAATGCAGAGTAACTGTGAGGCTTCAGTGGAGAGTTAAACACTCTCATGTTTGTTTTATATTGAAGAATTGTTTGGGTTTGTATTTAAGTCTCTGTTTCTGTCTTAAATAGAGTTTTCTATTTCCATGTACCAAAAAAGATTGTATATAAAGTGTCTCAGTGGAACCGTGTGTCGCTGCCTCGTTTTTTCACTCTGACCAGCTGAACAACACCAAAGACAGCCGGGCTCTTCACAGAACTCCAGTCAGAGCTCAAACATATTAAATATAATGAAACAGATGAATGAGGATTCTTGTGAGAGCTGCTGCTGTTACTGAACACAGCGTCTCTAACTTATGCAGGTTTGTTGGATGGAACAGCAGCGTGTGTGTTTCTGAAACCTTTCAGTGCTTCATGAACGTCTCAGTGAGCGTAGAAAGTACAATAAAGGGAAGACAAAGCACATTCTCCTTCCTCCTGAGGGTAATAAACAGAAACATACGTCACCAGTGTTTCTTCACCTCACTTTACATCATTTCTTTTATAAGCTCAAAGCATCTTTGACTAAAGAAGCCGTGATACTGACCTCAGAGCATCTGAGACAACGAGCATGAAGGAGTCACGCTGTAATGACGATAACTCAGTCTGAGGAACAGGCCTCGATACCGAGAGGGAAGACTTCTCAGAAAGACATCCTGCTCTCACCGTAAACGTGTTTAGGCTACAACACAGCAAAATACTTTAAAATAAAATATCCATTTTCACTAAACTGACGTCCTGACATCGATCTGACAGCATCTCCTGTTAGAGGACGTTTCACTGCAACAGCTTAATATGTGAACACACAGGAGGCTCCAGCCCCCCCAACCCCAGTATGGATGGATGGATAGATGGATGATGGATGGATGGATGGATGGAAGGATGGATGGATGGATGGATGGATGATGGATGGATAGAGGGATGGATGGATAGATGGATGATGGATGGATGGATGGATGGAAGGATGGATGGATGGATGGATGGATGGATGGATGGATGGATGGATGGATGGATGGATAGAGGGATGTTTGGATGGATGGATGGATGGATGGATGTATAGATGGATGGATGGATGGATGGATGGATGGATGGATGGATGTTTGGATGGATGGATGGATGATGGATGGATGGATGGATGGATGGATGGATGGATGGACGGGAGGCTGTCATATGTCTGAATCCCAACATCATCACAGTGAAATTCAGTCCGTCGCGGATGTTTCTGACAACATACTCTGCATAGGAACCGTAGAAGAACTTTACCATGTCTCTGTAGTTGGGGTAGAAAGTCTGGTCGATGAGCGGGAACCTGTCTGAACCCAACCTCTTCTGATTATTGATCAGCTGGGAGAACTGGAGGACAGGAGCAGAAACACAGCAGGTCAATGTCCTGCAGCTTAGTGGACAGTTAACAGGCTGTAATATTTATTATAACCTGTCTGAAAGGTTTATGGTATCATCATTCAGTAATAAACAATGTTTATTGTTCATGAGACTGACATCAGTGCTCCATGTGCTCATAAGTCACTCTATTCAGAAAAATGTTCCACATCTGTAACCGTGAGTGAATCAGAGGTTGATGCTGTTTTCCTAAACCACTTACAGCCCAGGGCTTGTCACACAGGTTGTAGATGGAGTCCAGAGAGTTGACCGACGGGACGCCTGCATACTGCAGACCGATGATCAGGTTCCTGAAGTCCTCGTTCTGCGCCATGCTGAAGGCGTGCTGGCGCACCAGGACGAAGTCCGGCTTGAAGGACCTGGAATGAGAACATGAAGAAGGTTCATTGAGAATAAATTCCTGCTACTGTTTTACTGAACGTTGGAGGCCAGATGCAACAGACCTGCACTGGGATGGAAGAAAGAGAAATGATGACATAAAGTCAGTAAACAGGTGGCAACAGATGGTCCAGAGGAAACCATGAAGCTACAACAATTAAATGAGTCTCTTCTGCTTCTAGGATGCCGTGGCAGTGAGGGAAGTGTGTTTTCACATGTATAATTAAAACATGTCTTCAGAATGCATCGTGCATCACTGGCAGCTCTCCTGTAACCTCACAGCTGAGACGAGGTGTGTTTCGGGTTGAGTCTCACTCCAGGTGACGTCACATACGTCTAAATTTAATTTAGTGTTTGTGTTTCAGACGGCAAGTGTGGACAGAAACCTGAGCATCTGGTTTAATAACACTGAGATGTGAATCTTGAGCACAAATGATGAATGACCTTTCCAGTGTGACTGCATTAGTAACACAGTGAGCAGAGAACTGGGCCGGCGCCGCTGATCATCCAACAGAACACACACATCAGGCCTCTGTCTGGTCCACCTGCTCAGTGGGAAGCAGGACTGAGCCCATCGTGTTCTGATATTCTTGATACTTGCATCTAATCAATACAAAAACGGGACCAGACTGATGCAGGATCACTTTCTGTGTAACATCGATGTACGATCATTATTAATGACCGAAGGACAGACGTCTGGCGAACCAGCACATGAAAGTGTGTTCAGACGTGTTCCTTCTCGTCCTCTCCCTACCGTGAAAGTGAAAAGACATCTTAAGCTCTTAGGTTGTCATTCATTTATATGGAAATCATCTGTTAATCTCTAACTAATAATAGCTGCTTATGTTTTTAGTCGTTTTTAGTGAAGTCACATTCTTGTGTGTTCAGAGCAGCAGGCTGATGGGGCTTCATGTGAATGTGTCTGTTGGACAACAACAAGCAGAAACAGAGATCTGAGGTCTTCTCAGGCTTGGAGTTTTAGTCTGAAGAGACTCTTTGGTCGATTGCTGGATGTCACCAGGGCTCCAGGTTCGTCTGAGGAGAGGCTTCAGGAAGCTGTTGGGTCTGAGGACTGTAGGACTCCAGAGTTTGGCATGGAATGGAAAACCATAGGATGAGGTTCAAACTTAAAACCGATTAACAAGAAGAGTTGTTGTTTACTGTCAGGATATGAAGAGGCTGTTACTCTTGTTCTTCTGAGGTGTCCTCCCCATGGCAGTGATGTTCTCTGCAGACTGGATGCAACATAAAACTGACCTTCAACCCAGCAGAGGGTTGGTCTTCTTCTCTGAGGTTAGGACGACCCACATGTTGTTGTTTCATACGGAGGACTATATGTACGTTAGCCCTGCTGCTGTCAGACTGAAGATTCACTTTGTGTTTCTGCCGCCCTCTGGAGGTGAACCTGGGAGTGCAGGGAGCAGAGTGAACCTCCCACTCAGTGTCCTGCTGGGTCACCTCATCATGTCCTCGAGGAGCCGTCCACCGGCCCACAGCACCGGGACCGCAGGGTAGAGGAACTCAAGCTCTGAGAGAAACCCGGGCAGGAATCTGCATCATAGAAAAATAAATGCTCAATAGTGGACATAGGGCTCAATCACAAGGCACTGAAACCACGGCGCTGGAGCGCAGAGAGGCAGTTCGTGGCCATCGGGTCGAGGTCAGAAACAATGCTGGGAGCAGCTTAACTGGGCTGAAGGTTGACGGTAACCGGGCCCGACCCGTGTTGTGGTTTCCTTTTGTCTCTGCATGTACGACAGCCAACGAACGAAAGGCAGAGAGACGGAGAGAGAAGTGTGAGAAACAGCCAGAGGAACAGAGATGTAGAGAGAAAACAGACACAGAGCCAAAACTGTGGCGCAGCGTGACCGCCACCAGCTCGCCGCGCTCACAGAATGCTAATGAGAGCCTCCAAGAACCTCACAGACTGGTGGAGAGGACACAGCAATTACTGAGACTGTAATCTCTTCATTACTGGCAGCAGAGCGCCGCCGCCACTCTCAGCGCTGCGTCGCAGTCGGAGCTGCCAGCGGCGCCACACTAGCCACTGTGGAGGTTCCACTGTGGAGGTCCCACTGTGGAGGTCCCACTGTGGAGGTCCCACTGTTCAGGTCCCACTGTGGACGTCCCACTGTGGAGGGCCCACTGTGAAGGTCCCACTGTGGAGGTCCCACTGTCAGGTCCCACTGTGGAGGTCCCACTGTGGAGGTCCCACTGTGGAGGTCCCACTGTGGAGGT